ATAATGGCGAAAATGTGAAATTTCTACCATTCAAAGTAAGTGAGTACCTATTTATGTACCCATCATGTATGGCTCTTCTATCAAATTGCCAAGGTCACCCTAACAACAAATGCCCAGCTTGCATCGGTACTACATCACATAATACTTAATCAACATATCTTCCAATAGAGAATAGAACTACAACTTGCTTAATCACCTTTACTTCTCCACAATTCAATCATTATGGTTTGTAGGGTATTGGGTGTTTTTCACATTTCAAACTCAATTTCTCCACCAAAACATAGTAGCCACATTTACACAATTCCCTCCATTAATGATCATGACACAAACCTTTCTATTTACAAGGCATCTTGTATGGAATAGATTTTTCCTTTGTTCTAAACTTTCCATCTTAACTTGCATATTAAGAGCTCGCCTAATAACCAATGATTCTCCACAGGCAGCATACGCAACATCATCATCACAATCTTCTAAAAGTGGCATATTATCACAATCAGAATCAGATTTAGACTCAACATCCCCATTATCGCTAATAAACATGACATTCTTATTTGGACATTTTGAAGCAATATGTCCCACTCCCAAACATATGAAATATTTAATATTTCTATGTTTATTAGTAGATGTGTGATCAGAAGTATCTTTAATAGATGATTAGGTACCTTTATATTTGCCTTTGTTGAAATCTGTAATCTTTTCCTTAGAACCAAAGCTTTTTTCCTTGGTCTTAGGCCACTTTCAATTCCAATTACTATTAGAACCAAAATATGACCTTGTTGTTCCCCTAATTTTCAATTGTCTTTCTTCTTTCATCGCCATATTAACCATCTCTTCCAACTCAACATAGTGATGTAATTTAACTATATCGGTAATTTCTTTATTTAAGCCACTTAAAAATCATACCATGGTAGCTTTTCTATCCTCCTCGATGTTTACTCGAATCATGGCTATCTCTATTTCTTTGTGATAATCTTCAACTGATTTAGATCCTTGAGTGAGCCTTTACAGTTTCTTATGGAGCTCTCTATAGTAAAATGATTGAACAAACCTTTTCCTCACAATAGCTTTCATTTGAGTACAGGTGGTGATGGGTGCCTCTCCATTACGTCTCCTAGAGATGAGCAACTGATCCCATCAAACCAAAGCATAATTTGTAAATTCAACGGTTGTCAACTTCACCTTTTTTTCCTCAAAGTAGTTATGGCATTCAAATATTAACCCCACTTTTTGCTCCCATTTTAGATAAGTTTCAGCATCATTTCTTCCTTGAAAAGAATGAATCTTTATCTTGATAGAATTAATGTTGTTGTCCCTCCTTTTGCGTATTCTTTACACTGTTGACTCTTCATTATCTTCATCTACTTCCCTTTCTATCTCGTCATCATTCAACATATTTCTTTTTTTCCTATTATGCCTCCTTTGATTAGGACCAACTTGTCGGCCTCGAAGGCTATCTATATCACCTTTTATGTTGTTTGTCTCTATTAAGCTTTCCAAACTACCTTTGCATTGCTTCTAAGATAAAGGATATGTCATTCATGGTTATCTCATGCTTCTCACTTCTAGGATTTAACATGATGTAGAACATGTAAGAAAAATGTTAGTAAAGAAAATTCCTCACAACACTCCCTTACGTGTTTCACTCTTGAACATACTTGTCACTTCTCTCGTGTTTTCACTCAGTATTTTGGCTTTAATCCTTTTCTAAGCTTACACTCTTAAGCCTTTTACCACTTTATTCTCTTCTTCAAGTCGTACTTCAGAATTGAAAACAACTCAATCAAGATAAATAAGTAGTTGTTTATGTGACACTTCAAGCAATCATAATGAATGAGAAGGTAAATAATTAACACTAGATGCAAACTAGATAAACAAGAACATAATCTTAACACATGGATTAAGGTGGATGTGTTTCTATAAATTAATTAATGTAACTAGGATACAATTGGCTGCTTTTAATATAATGGAAACATGAGATATATGAAGAAACGAAACTAAAAATGTAAGAAAATAATTCAGGACTAAAGATAATAAAATTCATATCATTCCCAGTGAGAAATTTGAATATATAAACCTATAATCTATTCACAATGTAAGTTACGCTCTAATATGTGAAACAGATGTACTTTAACTAAGATGGACATAATTGAAAGTTTAACGAACACATCTGATGCCCAAAGAAATAAATAAGTTTGAATTTGTAATAGAAATCAATTCTAATATTTTTTTTCTTCATTTTATCTTTTTTTTAACTTTTAAAAAAAATTGGCTGATAAAAAATGAAGATGAAGAGACAAAGAACACAGAATTGAAGATAAAAACAAGATGCAACCAGAATTAAGAATAACAAGGATATAAGTTGAATAGTCTAAACAAAGAAGAACAAGAAGATAAACTTAGATAAATCAAATACAAAGGATACCTAAAGATTTATCCAAGGCCAAAGCTCTGAAACCAAACTGATGTGAACCTCAAGGATCAAAGATTACATCCAGAACCCCACATATACATTTAGCATAGATAGCTCAGAACCCTAAACAAATCATTCCTACTAAATCTATAATTAACCTATAATTGAGAACTTAGGTGATTTGGATGAAAGATATTTGATAAGTTTAACTCAATTCTTGATACAACAAGAAGAATAAGAATTCTCACTTGTCAAAGTTCTGTAAAGGCAATGAAATTCATTCAATAATCAAAGTCTGTCATATTACATTGAAAATGAGATATTTATAGCCTAAAACACCTAGATTCTGTTAAAAGTTCATAATTAATACACATATAAATATAGACATTTATAAACCTATATATTTAAAAACTTGATATTAAATGATCTAGGAAAATACGAACATAATTTAATTGTTTAGGAAATGAACTAGGAAAATATGGCATTAAATGACCTACGAGAATACGAACAAAATTTAATTATCTAGTAAATGACCAAAGTAAACCTAGACATTCACTCCAAATTTTACCCACACACTTAGACTAAATTAATGATATTCTTTGGCTCTTTTGATTCTTCAAATAGTCTACATGTGTTAAGTTCTTACTGTATCGATCTATGTAAAAAGTCTTGGAATGCATATTTTATCTTCTTGGTTTGAAATCTTGTGATTGGAACAGCTGACATTGTAATCTCTTCTTCATATTTCTCTTTTTGTGATATATTAATACTTTTTGAACCCATGTCTGCATCACTATTCTTAGAAGATGATTGAGTATGTCGAGTATTCGACAACTATTCTTGGGATCCATAAAGAGAAGAAGCTATATGTCAAGTTGAGTGAATGTGAATTATGGTTGAACTAGATAACATTTTCAGGATATGTGATTTCTAAAGATGGTGCTCGATTGGCCCATCAAACATTAAGATTGTGGTGGACTAGAGACGACCAACCAATGTTACAGAGTCAGAAGCTTCCTTACCCTTACAGGCCATTATCGCCGACTTGTGAAATGATTCTCTTAAATTGCAGCTATTCTAACTCAGCTTCTAATGAAAGATTTAAATTTTGAATAGAATGAGAAGTGTGATAGGAGCTTCAATGAATTAAAGGATCGGTTCACAATTGTGCATATTTTAGTCATTTCAAGTAATACCGATGGATTTGCAATTTTTAATATATTTTCACCAAGGATCGGGGTGTGTTTTGGTACAACATGGGTGAATGATAGCTTATACCTCTAGATAGTTGAAAAATCACGAACAAAACTGTTCAATCCATGACTTGGAACTTGCTGTAATTGTGTTTACTCTGAAGATTGGCAGTATTATCTGTATGGTGAGAGTTTTAACATTTATATAGATCACAAGAGTCTTAAGTATATGTTTTCACAGAAAAAGCTGAATATAAGGTATTGAAAATTGATGAATCTCTTTTACCATATAGGAAAAAACAATGTATTAACAAACACTCAACGAAAAAAATACTTGTAGTCTTATTTATATGAAAATTGTTAGAAGAAGTATGGGGTCTGAAGATTCAAAAAAAAGAAGTCGAGAATATATCTGGCCAACTTGAAGATGCAAACAGTTCTACTATAAAAGATTAAAGACGCTCAACCATCTAATCTTCTGTTGAAGTTGATTATGGATGATGTCAAAAAAGGGTTATTATAAAGATCCTATTTGTAGCTTCTAACAAAAATTAAGGTTCAAAAAGAAGTTTCTTGCAAAAAGGATATTATTTCTTGTTATGATGGATGATCTTACTTTAGCTTTGGACATCATGACTTTGACTCTCTATCAAGCTATATTGATTCCACCCTTATCAATGCACATGTGTCTTGCTTCTATTTTTTGAGCTATTTTCTCTTGGATAATAATTGATTTTGGCCTTGATATCTTCATGAGAGTTGTAGTGTAGATGTAGGCTCTCTAATATATCTTAAATCACTTTAATTGAATATGTAGAATTTGTGTTACAACTTAATTACGAATAGAAATTAAATTAAAATTCTTTGAACTATATGCTTGATTTTAATTTCCTGCCTCAAACTATATAATACCCATGTATGATTGTTTTCATTAACCCATTTGGTTACTTTCTTCTTGTATCCAAAAAAAAAATACAATTTAATCAAACCAAATATAACTTAAAAGGAACTTAAATATCCATTTCAAAGTATTGGCCCATTTTCATTTTGTGCAAAAAAAACAAAATGTGACGTGGAGTAAATAAAATATTTATGGGAAGCACAAAAAACTCTCTTCTCCGTGGGCATTTAATTCAATCCTGATATGCCACGTGGCATACTTCCAAGACACGTAAGAGATCCCTCTCGTCTGAGACATGTGGGTCCACGATGTCCTCTCAGATCAAGACCAACTGTTACAACGTAAACGACTGTTTGTGCCTCTTAACGCTTTCTCACTTACGCACGCTCGTCTCTTCCGTCATTTAACGGCAACGTCCTGACGGCGTTGTCTGCTCCGCCTTATATAAGTACTTCAGCGTATCTTTGTTCTCCTCTCCTTGTCTTTAATCCAATAATCCCTCCCATTCATCATCCACACTCGGAGCTCCGTACCCGAAAAATCCACCATCTCGGGTAAAAAAAAACCGTAACGTTCTCCGGTCATTTTCTCCCGGAGAGAAATTTTCTCTCCTTTTTCTTTTTATCTCCCCCTTGTTCATATGCATTTTGTCTCCCCCACAATCGAGATTTTTCCTCTGCCTTTTCAAAGCTGTGTTTAGAGATCTCAAATCCACGATACATCTGCTTGTGAACCCACGAGCAGGTTCTGAAGTTAAGGGAGGGTAAGACTTTTCTTTCTGGCTCAACTTTCTGGGAAACCAAACCGAGAATCTTGCTTATTCTTATCTCTGTAAACGCTTTACTCAGATCTTTTGTAAAAAAAAAAATTCCATTTTTCGTTGATGGGTTTTTTGGTTTTATGTTTTTGTGATAGTAGATGACATTCATTAATGGAATTGGATTGAGAAAAAGGCGTGATTGATGCAGGAATGTAGATAGTGAAGAAGAAGAAGAAGAGGGATTGGGAGGGAGGTGGAGAAATCAATGAATGCAGAGTAAATAAAAGCAGAGAAAAAGAAAAAGGACCCCAGGAGGTTTTATTAGTCCTTTAAAGAAGACAGCTAAGAGGAGAAGACACTACCAGCAGCCAGTGAGTTGTAGAACAAATATAGATATATATTTATATATAACTTCATTTATTCTCTTATCTTTGAAAAATATTGTCTATTATTTGGTTTTTTATTTCAGAAAAAATTATTTTTGGGTTTTTTCTTAACATATATATATGTATATGTATATGTATATGTGTGGTAGGTCGTTTTCGAATAATAGTGATGAGTGTGGTAGTTTTCAATGTGTTTTTCACTGTTTTCTCTTCTCCATTTTGTTTCTTTGTCTATTCATCCACTGCTTTCATTTCTCGACATCCCTCTGATTAGTCCATCATCAACATCAATTTTTTAAATAAAAAAATTTGAATTTTTAAAATATTTTTATTTCAATAAAAATGGATTTTTTTTTAATTATCCATTTGTTTTTCTTTTTTTATGTTCTTGAATGGGAAATTGTTTGGGGCAAGAAAGGAATTTTTCTGGGTTTGTTTTGATTTTTTAAAATGTTTTTCAATGGGTTGGTGTTTGAAACTTTGAATATTTTTTTAAACAAACTCATGTCCCATGTATATATATATATATGTGTGTGTGTGTGTGTGTGTGTGTGTATATATGTACATATATTCTCTCTTTTTGAATAATTGATTGGGATATGTTTTCCTGCTCTGATCCCGAGTTTCTTTTTCTTTTCTTTATTTTCCCCCTCTTTTTTAAAGCCTCCATAATCACCAAACATATCTTAGTTGAATTTATTTGGTCCCTTTTAGATCAGCCTTACTTCCTTTTCCTTTTGTTTTTCTCTTTGGTTTCTCGGTATCCAAACACTGTCCAAGTTTCACAAGGTACGAGGGATTAACATTTATTTTCTCCCTCCCTATTTAGTATTCACCCCAAAAAATCCATTATAATATAATAAGAATGTTCCATTGTCTCTTTCAAATTTACCAATTTACCCTTTTATTAATAATAAAATTAAATTGTGAATGTAGGGGTAAAAAGGTAAAAGGAAGGAGGAGAAATGTTTACGTGTATCGCATGTACGAAACAAATGGCGGAAGGAGGAGAGGAAGTGGAAGGAAGTGGAGGAGGAGGAGCGCGTGGGAGTGGGACGCCAAATACAAAAGACGCCGTCAAAAGCCTGACGGCGCAGGTTCTTATAAAAACATCTTCTCTCCATTTTTTATTTTCGCTTTTTCCACTTTTCTTTTTCTTGTTTGTGAAAACGAACAAAATCATATCCCCATTCTCTGATCTCCCGGGCCCCACTTCTCTAAGAATCTTTTATTTTATTTTATTATTATTCAAAACACTAATACTAAATAAAATAAAACAATATACTAATTGGGATTTTATTTTAAATCAACAATGTATAAAAATTTAAAAAAATTTAATATTCACTTCATTTCTAACTAGAATAATTGATTTTTTTTTTGTATAATGTAAATAAATATTATATAGTAATTGTTTATAGTATTTTTAATTAAATATGTAAAAAAAAAAAATTAATATTTAATATGGATTAAACTTGCTTATCACATGTTTGTAAGTATATTTTTTAAATAATGAGGAATTATTTTCAGTCCATTTTTATGTTATGCACAAAATTTGATTTTGATATATTATGCATAATTATTATGTTAATTTTGAGTTTTTAGTTTTGAATTTAGACAACATTTTAAATATTTGTTATATTATTATAGTTTGTTTTTAAAATTCTTTCGTTATATTTTTTTAATGCATAATATTTTTATATTATTGTAAAAATTGAAAGATATATTTCAATTTATATATAATTTATTTTCAATAAAATTTGAATTTTATAATAATTAAATATTAATCTTAATAAAAACTAATTTTTTATTTAATTGACACAAATTATGGTAACAAACATGAAGAAAAAAAGAGGTTTGAAATAATTATTTTTAAATATTTAATAAGAACGAAAACTAATATATACATACACAGACTGCAACACGCATGCTTGTTGCAGTGTGTACCTATATATACATATTACTTTGACTGATTTTTTAAATATTTTCATCAACTAGATTTTTTTTTTTTTTTAAAGAAAGTACAGAATACTTGCAGTATATATATATATATATATATATTCATTTTTATTAAAATAAATTTAAAAAAAGGGAAATTTTGGCACATATATATATAGTATAGGGTGTAATGTTAGAATTTTGTCACGTGGAGTAACGATAGCAGTACGCATCTGGGTGTATTGTTGACTCCGTTGACCATCACGTGAAGACATTCTTATTTTCTGCTTTTGTTAATTTTAAAATTATTTGATTTTAAGGTATGACATAAATTAGTAAAGAAAATTCTGATTGTTGAAATGAACACGTAATTGTCATAGTCATGAAGGTACTTTAGGGTTTAGCTGGTACCACTTTCTTTTTTGGGGACTTCAAGAATTTTGATTCTCTTAATTAAATTACCAAATTATTTATTAAAAAGAAAATCATGTCAGTAAATAAAATTACCAAATTATTATTTTTGCAAATTTCTTTTTGAGTATTTTCTTGTTTTAAATTATACTATGAGAGAAAAAAATTAAAAAAAAAAAAGAAAATAAATTTTTAATTGATTGTGATTTTGGCAATGGTGAATTTTTTTTAGGCAAACCATATTGATTTTGATAAGGCTTTTCACTATACTAACTTTGGCAATGGTAAATATATATAGAGCCTAGGCAGGAAGAGGGCTATATGACATATACCTACTCTATTACCCATCTTGTAAACACATTAATCTCTAGGGTTTGTTTGGCTTCATGTTTTAATTTAAGAGAACCCTAAAAAACAAGCTTGTATTTCCACCTAAGGAAGCTTTGTTGTTGTTCTAATGCTCTTTTAATTTACTTTCCAATCTGGGTTTTAAAATAAAGGGGTTTTAGTCAAATCATGCTCTGATTCTCTTCATTCTGTAACTTCTTACCAAACATATATATATATATATATTCCCATGTTGTGCAATAGTGAATGTCTTTAGAAAAAGACAAGGTTGTATTTTAGGAAAAGAAAGAAATTCAAGTGTCCTTGCCCTGACCCACCATTGAATTCTTGTCGATTTACTGTATATATAAAGTCCCACTACCATATTATATAATATATAATGTGGAATAAGCAAGAAAGAAAGAGAAAATTTACAGACCAAGAATTTAAAAAAAAAAAAAAAAAATACTATAGACAAAGCTGGTCTCAGGTTGGAATGTTTACAACCAATATGCCTTTTACCTCTCCACTCAGTTTCATTTGGCCAATCTTATTCTTACATAGATATATTTTTATATATATTTAATGTATGTCAATGTCGTACTTAGAAGTAAAAAATATGTAGTAATCTAGCATAAGGTTTAAAAAAATATGCATATATTATGTTAAACTCGTTGAGATGGTTTAGATGGATTACTTTAATGTGGATTTTTCTAGAAGTCTGACTGTAGTTTTTTCTTCTATACTGAAGAAGTTTCATGTAAAATTTTGTATTTATTATTTTTATTTTATTGTACATTAATTTAGTTTAATATCATTATTGACTTATGTGAATTAATTAAAAATTATTTTAATTTATACAATTAATTATATTTCTTATTCAGTACCTAATAAAAACTATTCCAATAAAAGTAGTTACCAACTTTTGGTTTTTCTCTTTTTATCAATATTTGAGTATCAATGATTTGCAGATCAAAGATATGGCATTGAAATTCTCTGGTGCTTACCGTCAATGCAAGCCATGTACTGGCTCCAGCAGCTACAAAAAAGGACAACGACCATATCCCGATTTCGATACTGCATCAGAAGGTGTTCCCTATCCTTATTTTGCAAGCTCAAGCTCAACACCTGCTTGGGATTTTACAAGCTCTGCCCACCATCCACCTGGAAGGTCCGATTCAAGATTTACAGGAGTGTTTAATGGTGATCGAACTCCAGGAGGAGGCACCGAGTCTTGTGATGTGGTGCTCGATGACGAGGATCAGCCAAAAGAATGGATGGCACAGGTGGAGCCCGGTGTTCATATTACTTTTATCTCCCTTCCTAATGGCGGCAATGATCTGAAGCGTATACGTTTCAGGTACGAAAACATGTAACCAGAAATCAATCTAAAAGCTTATAACATATCCATGGACTAATAAACAATGAAAATCTGCAGCTGGGTCCTTATTCTAGACCAAAGGCATTATCATATATTCCAATATGATGATAATATTGTTAAAAATTACTGTAAAAATTATAATATATTAATTTATAGTTAAATAAGATTTATTTTTTAATCAGATTTGATCAATATTTATCTTTTAAATATTATGTAATTAGTGTTACTTTTTCTTTTAATTAAATTTATCTATATTTATTTTTTAAATATTATATTATTAGTGGTAGTTTATTTTTATAAGATTAATTTATATAAAATCTTATTTAAAAGTACAGTAAGTTATCAATTCGGAAATTAATTGAAGTTCAAGTTTTCTTCAAATAGAAAAACTCCAACAACTATCTTCATTAATAATGGTTTTGCTTCTGTTACATTAGAAATTGAACTCTCTTTACTATTAGATTTCATTGTAAAACAGAAAGATATACAAAAATCAAATACTTTAGACCAATAACTGATTTTAAATGCACTTTGTTTGAAGCCGAGAGATGTTTAATAAGTGGCAAGCTCAGCGGTGGTGGGGCGAGAACTACGACAGGATAATGGAGCTGTACAATGTACAGAGATTTAATCGCCAAGCTCTTCACACTCCTCCGAGGTCTGAGGATGAGGTACATCAGTTTTTGACAATTTTCCTTTTCATGTCACTAGGAACAGCTATCACTAAGAAAATCTCATCTAGTATATGATTCACGTATGCAGCAGAGAGATTCATCTTACTCGAGGATGGGATCAGCGAGGGAAAGCCCTATGATAAACAAAGATTGGACACCGAGGCACCACTATAAACCCTCTGGAAGTAAAGGGTATTTCCCATCTGAGCATATGGATCAAGGTGGCAACCAACACTTCCACGCTGGCCCCAGTGCTTATAGTTCAGGTCCTCCAAGAGGTGAAGCATCTTCCATGGATGCATCAAGAACAACAACTTCTTCTAGAGATGAGCCTTCTATCAGTAACGCAAGTGAGATGGAATCCGAATGGGTTGAAGAAGATGAACCTGGAGTTTATATTACCATCAGACAGTTAGCTGATGGCACTAGGGAGCTTCGCCGAGTCAGATTCAGGTGACAAATTCGTATCTCTCTGTATTCTGTGTTGAATAACTTCTGGTGAAACAAGATGGATGCTTGTCCATCTTTATCTGCAAGTTACTAAAACGAGCACTTTAACACATTTTCGTTATTGATTCAAGTGATTTAATTGATATGTATAACAAGATGTTTCATTGACATAGAAATTCTGGCAACTTCTTACATTTTTCTTTCTGGTTTGATGCAGCCGGGAAAGATTCGGGGAAGTCCATGCTAAGCTGTGGTGGGAAGAGAACCGAGAAAGAATACAAGCACAATACCTCTAAATTAGGTTCATACATAATACACATAGATCGGAAGCTGGAAGTAAATGTATTAGAGGTGCAGTTGGGTATCCCAAGAAAATGAACTCAACATCCAATTTTGTTTTAATGTTGCATCCTAAAATCAAAATTTTACACAAGAAGGAATTTATTTTCTTGTTCCCACCTTTTAAGAGCTTTTATATTTGGGATTCATGGGATTATGGAGCTCTCAAATGAAATGTTATATGTTTGTAACACAAATTAATAGGTGAAGAAATGGAATTGAATTCTTAAAATTTGCTACTGTTATTTCTTGTAGTGCAAGTTAATAGAGAGAAACAAATTTATTTACTCTATTCTTATATTATACTAGAAATAAGACATAATCAGTAACAAAAGAGAATTTATTCATATACTACATGTGGCATTAGTCAATAGGAGTTACATAATTATTTTTCTCAATATGAGTCAAACTTATGAATTTTGTACTTTTTATTAGCTTTCTCAAATACTTCTCTTGTCTTCTTAATCATCACACCCTACTTTTACAATCCAAGACTAGTATAGAATTTATTAATATATATAATAGCAGCTTAATACAATATAAGATAAGATAATTGTAAGGTCTTAAACTCCGTATTGAGCAAATTACAATGTGATATATTTATGAAAAAATTTCATAAACATACAAGAATTAAAACAAATATTAAACTTAACCAAAATATGTCTTGTAAATTTATTTATCAATAAATCAATTTAATTGAAACATTATCTCAAAACTCAAAAAATTGAACTCCTTTAAGATAAAGTTGTTTCTCAATCTAAAGACAAACTTTAATTGATATATTTTAATTCTCTAAATTGGGTCCTTAATTACTCACATTTTTTAAGTCTCTGTATGCAATCTATCCTTCTGAATTTGTAACTATCATCATCTAAAGACATATTATTATCATTCATTCTACTTATTAACTAACTATCACTTTCATAAAATCTCTAGATCAACTAAAGGATCATTATTTCTTAATCTTTCATGTATCAAGAGTGAAATACAATTTGTTAACGTTAATTGGTTATTAAAAGAAGCCCAATTTACCCCTTTCTTGGGTTGTCAACCCTTTGAGCCATTACAAGCCTTTTTTATGAGAACTAAAGCTCAAGATATCTTTATGATGTTTTAATCTTATCGGAGCTATTCACCTTAGTTCCTCCATCACATGTGCACAACTAGGTAACTATAACTTTCTAATCTTCCAAGATCTTTTTTTGTTCATTGTTCTTTTAGAGACTCTTTGGACCATGAACTCCATTCTTCGTTACTATTTTTTTTTTTCTTTACAAGAGTTCAAGAATTCATATTAACATGAATTAAATATTATTATCACCAAAATCAATATATATATATATATATATATCAACAAGCTCTCTTTTTTTAATAGATAGCAAAACTTAACGAAAAATTATTATTTTAAAAATATTGATATAATAAAGAAAATTTGTCTTTAAGGTGCATAAAACTACCAATTTTCATGCCCTGCTGATAATTAGGAAAGATTTTTGTGTTTTGCTCTTAATTTATTCTTATTTTTAAGAAGATAAAAGCAAATTTTTTTTGTAGATTTTGAGGATCATTGATTCTATGATCTTTGTGATCACTAAAGATTCATTTTGTTATCAAGAGTGTTGAATCAAAGGATTAGCAATCCAAGATAGAGATGAATTAGTTTTTTTTTTTTCATATTTTATTGTTTGTTTTATCTTAAGAAATTATATTTTAGTATGTATGCATGAAATTGTTCTTTTATCAGTATTGATAGGAGATAACACTTACTGATAAAATTTTAAGAGAGAAATAATTCCTTTATTAACTTAGAGATTATTTAAAGATGACAATTAGTTAATGAGCTAATGAAGGTTGAAAATATATTCTTACATAATGTACAAACTACTCAATTTAACAAAAATGATAATTAAAGATGATAAACAAAGAGAGGAAGAGAACATATATAGGAGCTTTATAAAGGTTTGATCACTCATGTGGACCTACATTATCTCTTCAAGTCAACCATTTAAGTGCTTTTACTATCCCTAACCAAAACATTACACAAGCTCTTTCTTTATGTGTGAAACTCCACCTTAAATTCTTTTCTTAGCTGGATTTACTTAATGAACATACATAATTCCTTCGTTTACCTTAAAAATACATATAAATAGAGAATGAAGTTTGAGCTTCTCTTATAAAATAAAAACTTCAATTTATAATACAAATAATTTGATGATTTTTAAAATAAGACTCCATCAATAATTTTTGAAATCAAGGAATAGAGGAATTTTAGAAGAGGATATCTTAAATTTTTAATCTCAAAAATTCTAAAAGTATCTCTCTTTATGACGAGATAGGTGAGACCATTAAGTACTACTTATTTAGAAAGTAACCATCAAATATAATTTATTTAAAAATTTGTGCATTTAATACTTATAATACTCTTTCATGTTAATTTTTGTGTTTTCATATAATGCATGTGAAGTATTTTACATCTATTTGTATTGTATCTTGGATTTATTAAAAATGAGACCCGAGAATAATAGCATAGAATATAAACCTTATTTACACTTCAAATCACTTAATAAATTTATTTGAAACAAAGAGAACTTGAAAATTATTATTCCACTTGTGATTAATTAGTTTCATTTTTATTAATTTAACATATTTTATATATTTAACTTTTTTTACTGTTCTATCAGTTTTTTCTAAAAATTAATTTGTTTAAAAAATATTCTTATTCTTTCATGATATTTTAAAATTTAAATTCATTATTTAGTCTAAAATTTTTAATTTTTAAAAACTTGTTCATGAGCCTTGTTCTTAAAATTTATAGACATTTACAAACTATATTATAACTCACAGTTTTTAAGCTTAATCTTGATTTTCTTGATAGTATTGAATTCTTAAGATCTTCATATATATGTTATGCTTAATATAAAAAAATTTAGCAAACATTAATTAACACACACTATTTCTTTTATCAAATATATTAAAATCAATAATCTTTCATAATTTTGAATCTTTTTTCAAATTTTCTACTATGATTACTTCTAAAGCTATATATTTTAGCTCCCATCTCATTTTGAATTTTCTTGTAGAACTTAGAGAATCCTTGAAGAGCCACATCCTTGTGTACAAGGAAGAATGCTGATGTATGCCCCCTAAACTGAAGGTTCTAGTTGGATCAAACAGGTCCATGCGTAGTTTGGCATGTTTGATAAGTTTTGTTAAGAGGAGTCTTCATAGAGTTCTTATATTATATGATTTATGAATATAATAGTGTAAATCATACTGGCTGATATGTATATTTCGGTATATGACATTTCAATATTTATTTACTTTTATTTAGATTACGAGCCTGAAGATATTGTAAAACTAATTTAAGATTAATTAAAATGTCACTCTAATTTTTTTAATTATACTATAAAGGGAAAAACGAGTCGGCTTCCATAGGCCAAAACCCGATCCGAGATCCCAAACAACTAAACCCTTGGCAAACTTTCATACCGAACTGCCATTCATTCCCGCGACTCTTCTCCCTTGAAAAACCTGATCATCTTCTTCATCTTTCTCTCCAAAAACCTAATATCAGAAACCTGTAAAAATTTCAGTTCAAGGCGTATTCACCTAAGGAAAGTTCTCCTTCACTTCCGCGCTCTTGGCCTTGTTCGTTCTTGCCGCCATTGTAATTCTCATAACTATCAAGACCACCATTCAGTCCGACCTCTAATGATGTCGCATCTTTTTCAGTCCTTAAACCACCATTACTGCTCACTCGCTCCATAAAAAACACCGTCGTTTTCTCCCCCATCCAACGGGATGCGGGATGCACGCCGTTTCTTGGAATGCCGCCTTCCTGTTTGATGAAAATCCGGTACCTATAAATGCTCGTGGCGAAGACGATGACGATAACGGTGACGCTTATCTTGATGATGGGAATGGTAGGTTGAGCCTAAGGTGGGAGAGATGTGAAGGATCGACGGCCATGGATGTTATACTGTGTTTGGATGACATGTTGACAATCAATAGGCTAAAAACGAGAAGAAATATGGAGTATTTGAGAGGAGCACTGCCCGAAGTCGAGTCCCAGGTGCTTGGTGCCTTTGCGTAAATGGTATAAGATTCCCTTTCCGTGTCCTAAGTGCAGAGACATGGTGACACTGAATCGTTTTAGGTAAGATTCATTTCGGTTTTTCCCCCTTTATGTTTAAAACGTTCATGGGTGCTTCGTTTCATGCACGCTCGCCAATTTTTCCTGCACGCTCGCCAATTTTTCCTGCGTCCAAAGCTTGTTTAGTTTAATGTCATGCTTGCTTCTTTGTCGTCAATGTTCATTGGCAACTGGGTGTGTCACGAATTTTAAGATTTCCAATATGGAGGAAGAAGCAAAGCATGCTCTGTTTTCTAGAGAAGTAAAGAACTCCGTTAGTTTGGCATTGTCATATGAATAAATTCAGCTCCCTGTATGCAGATTTTTACTGTCTTACTCCATTTCTTCTATGAACGAATTTGTCGAACTAAGTTGGCATGCTTTTCTAATTTTTTTGCTTATTTTTTCAAATATAGCTTTTTTGGATAATTTTTCTTTTCTTTTTCCGTTCTGTCATTTAGACTTCACCAGTAGTTGAATGGGGGAAGAGCATTAATGTTGTTTTAGATGTTGGTTGTGGTATTTCTAGTTTTGGTGGGTACTTGATGGATGGGTGTTGTTACAAGTTCTGCCTTAAAAGAGAGAGATGAAGCCAAGATTCAGTTTACTTTAAGAGCAGAATATGGTTTTAAGAAAATGACATGACCACGTCGCAGGTCAGTGTAAATGAGTGATTTTTACAATCACAATTAAGAATTTTGGGTTGCGTTTGAACCAAAAAGAGTAAGGGAATTCTTTGAAGATAGTTAAGTAGTACAAGACTCGTTACCCATTTTAGCCTTTTTATTTTCAAGTTATGCCCAAACTCAGTCCATGTTGCTCTCTCCTTTTGTAGTACATGTTTGAATCAAGTATCTTTGTTTCAAAGTTTTCTTAAGTTGCTTTGTTCTTAAAATACTTTTTAAAATTAAATGGTTTAGTTATTCTTAGATATATATTATATGGGTATATTGGTATTTTTTGTATATATATTTGATGTATAAATTATAAAATAGCAACAAATGTAAAATATATATCGGTATTGCTCTATACCATATTTGTACACTACCAACTTATTTTAACTTTGTTT